TATAATAAATACATGGAATAACACAGAATCTAATACCAAGTCTACACTGGTGCGGTTTACAATGAGCGCGGGTGTGCCGTAAGCTTTAGTCTGTTTACTATTGAATGTCTACTGTTTTTACATTAGTTTATAGAAAAACTTAAGGTTTATTACCTTTATTTTAAAATGTCATTTTTCTTTACCATCTATCGTCAAGGTTTCCCCATTGCTCGCACCTTCAATACTGTATTATAATTTACACAACTTTATATTACCTAGGCTTTACAGTTTTACAAACATCTAGCTTAGCATATCTAAAGTATGAGAGAAATGTATGAAGATGTATGGAGTCACACAGCTTTCAATCTCGACGGTGCAGTTCTGGCTGTCGAGGGGGTAGTAGTGTAGGTCCATCATGCAGGCCAGCGTCGCGGTGAACCGCATGCCGTACGTAATACCGCCTTCGCCGCATAGCCTCACCAGCTTGTTGCGTTCCGTCACATCGTGCAGGAAACTGAATACACGACAATCAATTTTACTAGACTATTTTTATCTGCAGTATTTTATACCGTATTTTTTATTTTTTTTTATCCATAAACCCAATTGCTGGTTTGTCCAGACACTCTAGGTACTACGCTATAAAAAAGAACAGTAGTTAAAATTACATTTTAAAAAATTTACAATAACTGAATTCGCTCATACCCTCATATACAGGATGCGCATACGATTTAAAATGTTTTTAGTATTAGAAGTTAAGTCAGTGATTTTATACGGTTTTTAAGTTTTTATATTCAACATTATTTTTAATATCGGGATGCAAATTATTTATTAATGTGGGTTATATAATCATTTGGTTAAATTCTTAACGTCGAAAATAAACTGTGAAAACGAGTATTCAAAAAATTGCTACCAAATATTTAAGTTGCAGCATAATATAAACATCAGACTAGATATTTTACTTACCTATTTTTATCGTTAGCAAAGAAAGTGTCGGGCACCCAGATCTTATCAGCGAAGTCTCCGGACAAGGTCAGCACTTCATCTGCCAGACCGAACGCGAGCCGCTCGTCCTTCCAATACTGGTTCAGATATAGTGTTATTGTGTAATCCTGCAATATTATTCATGTTTACTTTAATAATAGTCAAACATTGTACGGTTAAATAGTGTAAAAGTGCTGAAAAGGCATTTGCAATTTTGTTACAGAAAAATAGTAAAAATCTGTGAATCCTAGGAACTTAAATGAACGCAGTACAAGGCAGTGGGACCTAGAGAAAAAAATCGTAATGTACACCGTATTCTCAAAATGTCTTCTTAAAAAAAAACTTGTCGATTTTAATTAAGTGAATTCTGCTATCTTAGCTAATTATTAAGACCTGACTAAACAAAATTTAAGATAAGATAGACACCTTTAGAAACTTCAAGTTTATATCTTAAAAAGACACATAAGTTGTCCACTCTTTTGTTTTTATTAATAGTGATGTTTATTCGACATAGCCTTTATACACATACCAATCGACGGACATAGGTACCCGTAAGTTTTAGTAATTTATCCGTCCGCATAGAATTAAAAAAAGTAAGTAGCCTAGCTGTTCTTTGAGATTTTCGTCTACATCTATGCCAAATTTCTTTAAAATCTGTTGAGTAGTTTAGACTATAAACTCTAACAAACATCAATACATCCTTATAAACTTTCGCATTCATAATATTAATAAGGTTTCTTTATTTTCCTCTTGAAAATTTGAAGAATATTCCAAAGGATCTATGATCCTTTGAAATTGAAGGAGTTCTAGATAGGTTAATGAATTAATTTTCGTTGACAAGGGAGCGAGTGGATGTCGACCTCCCGGTGGTGTCGTCAAAGTAAAGATGTTCGATTGGCTGACGCGGCGGTCACCGGCAACCGTGTCAAGTGGCCGGCCTTGCTCTCTTTTTGAAGCTATTAAAAGCATAATGAATTACAGCGATCGACTTAAGAATGCGGAATTTTCTAAATGCCCTTAAACATCTTACAAATCCCCATACTGTTGTCATTAACAACGCGTTTGGAACTTGGCAAAGCTGCCGCGGACACTCTCGATATCAACTGAATTGACGCAGTCGCGAAGCGGAGTTTTTAAGACGGTGTATTTAACATATTCTTGTGATAGAAGAGAAACACACTTTCATATCTTTTAAACATAAAATAATCGACTTAAAATATATATGAAGTCTCTCTAGCTTAGCCAGCCTTAAGCTTTCCGCAACGATGGAATTGCAGTATATCCAACACTATACCTGACTTAGTAAATAAAAGCTCTCTAATGCTAAAGCAATTTAGGTTAGCTTAAGTCTAACTTGCTGCAGTAATATTGTGCACCGCCGCAGATCTATCTCCCACGTCTCTCGGCAATGTTATACATTATTATATTCCATACTATAAATTAATTACAACTATAAGACTATACTCGTATATGTAATTAATTATGTAATGTAATTTTACATTTGTCGTATTATAAAACAGTATGGTTTTCTCGGTCGCTGTATAACTTTGATTCTGATTTTACTAGATACTTTCTGAATGAAAAAGATTCAAATAAATAATCATATTCACTCACCATATTGACCTCTGAAATGGCATCGAAGCTGGCGATTGTCAGATCCATGCCGACGTAGAGCGGATCGCCTAAAAACCAATAATATTTTATGCAACGTAAACTGAGATCGCCACATGTTAGACGTATGTAGGTCCGAAACGCTGACGAATAGCAACATGTTTACGGAACAAATTCAATATCTATTGAATGTTTGCGCTCTATTGACCCGCAATAAGGTGCACACAGCGCACCTCATATGATTCAGCGATTTCTATTATGTATTTGTTTTCTTTGTCATGAAAGAATCATACGTAAAAGGAAGTATTTTTTTTCATAGTGTCATCTTGACAAACAAGCGACTATCGGAATTAACTAAAGTGACTGATGCCAGTACACATCATTATTTGAAAATACGTTTCCTTTAGTCAACAGAGAGTTTGTTTCCCCTGCCTATGCGTCCATCCTCTGGCAAATCGAGGTATGTTTGTAGAATATGTCTAGTCGTAAAATTTTGCATATTAGGCAGTCTTTTTACCTCCGAAGTTCGGTCGCAGACGTATATCGTAGCCGTCAAGAATGCGGGACACGGTGTGGGTGACGTTCTCCAGTCTGTCCACAGCCACCGCCCTCTCCAACCTGACATAATTATGATACCCAAATAAAGAATTAACTCATAATTAATTTAACACGAACTCGATTGCGTCATTTTTGCTTGACCCTTCAACAAACGATCAAAATATTTAAGGAAATTTAATATATTTGTAGGTAAGATTTGATACATATTTTTTGGGGATAAAGGAAAATGGTCTTATAATATTCTTTCAGAATTTATTTAAAAAAAATTCTAACATGCTATGACCGAACCCCAAATACAAGCATCTGTTCCAAATTTCAATTTAATAACATAGATTCCGAAAACAACCGTTGGAGTCGTAATGTACACCGTATTCAAAATGGTCACATATGTACCTAACCAAACCTGTGCAAAAATTAAGCATACAAAGTATTAGCTGATGCTCGCGACGTCGTCTCCGTTTAATTAAAAAAATAATAAAAAATAGCCTATGTTCACATATAAATTACCTTTCTAATGCTTGAGGAATTTTCAAATCGGACAGTAACTTTTTAATTATATTAATATATACCAAAATACAAATGTTTACTCTTTATAATATTAGTATACTCGTTAAGTTATAAACGAAGTCATCAGCAATCTTTTGCTCCAGTTAATATTTATCTCGTACCTCGGGATCATTAGCAGTTATTAGTCTGTACAATCAGTTACTTTGAGGATGCAATCTTGCATTCCCTTAGGTCTTTTTTGTTTCATATTCCCCTTTCTCAGAGAAAATTGCTATCGGTAGAAACATTACCCTTCATGCTGTATTAAGATATTTTTTTTACTTTAATAAAGAAGATTAATTACATCAATTGTATATTTTCAAATATGGTTTTTATATCTTTTCAAATTATAATCACTACAGAAACTTAAAAAACCGATTTATTACATGCTTTCCATACTAATGCATAAAGCACAGTATCTACAATACAATCATGTAGTTTAATATTTTTAATTGTAATATCTTTCCGGATTTATTAACACTGTTAATTATTTAGTATGGAAATACTTAGCTTATTTCATTAGAATAACTATAATATACTATAAGTAAAACAGTTTCTCTTATACGGAGTTTAACTTTACGAATTTAGCCGCGTGCCGTCGGCCGTCGGAAAGTTTAAACTACTCGTAGTACTTACGCATCTCTTATAAAACAGTTGTTTTAGTATGATATTTGCATATAATATGCTAAAATAAATTGTCTACAATATTTTTGTGTTTAAAGTAAATTTAGTTTTATCTACAGACAATTTTGTATCTTATGTAATATTTATTTTTTACACCTAAAACATTAAATACTTCTTTAATTTTTGTATACACTACTTAACATGAAACTTAAAAATTATTAAACACTTGCTCGCGACTTTGTCCGCGTGATATTAACAATATATCCTATGTTACTCACATAAAATTTACCTTACTAATGGTGAAAGAATTTTTTAAATCGGCCCAGTAGTTTTTGAGTTATTACAATACATAAAAAATACAAATTTATTAAAGTTCCTGTTATTTTTTGGTTAAAACAACCATTAAGTCATAAAACAAACATTTAAAAAAAGTTTAACTTACTGGGATTGTGTTAACGTCAGTACAAGAGGAATCATAACTCGCGCGAAAAAACTCTTTACCAGATGATGGAAACGCGCGCGGTGCGTGCAATGCGCGGTCATCGCGCTACAAAAACCTTCGCTCCTGACCACATGCCCATCGAACATCACACAGTACCACTAGCATAACTCAATAGAAACCTTTACTACTCTACAACGAACCGGTACTGCTACTAGCATACTTCACGTGAAACTTTAGCGAAGTTGTAAAACGCGGTTTACTTCGGCGTGAGCGGTCCCGCCGACCGCGAAGACTCGAATGACGTCGCGCGTGCGCCATTCACACAAAGCTCAGTCTACACGATTTTTAAGTTGTACCGAGATATGTCCCGCCCAAATCCCAACTCTACAAATACTATAAGCTGCTTAAGTTATTCAAGACGCTTAGAAAAGTATTGAAAAGTAGTATCGAAGATTTAACTAAATTTTTATAAGTTACTATAAAAACTGTATGCTAAGTTTTGGAATACATTTTTTTAAAACTCCCTCTCTCTATCAATAGCTCAAACGAGTAATATAGCTTTTTGTATTCACCAAACATATTAAATATCAAAAGAAAGATCGTAATATAAAACACAGTAATTCAAAACCCAATAAACGCAAATTCCCGTCCACAAGTAGTACTAGTACCTAGTCTTATCTTTAATTCGAAAACTAAATCTCCGATTTCACTACGTAACAAATTTCACATGTATTTTATAAAAGCTCGAACATTTTTGTTGAAAAATTATTTAAAACCTGTTAATCATGTAATTACAAACAATATTGTCACGTTTTTGTGAGATATCAAATTTTTGCATCATTATTAATTTTATATGAAAATGAGTTATTCGCCAACCTGGGCCGCAATAACTTATTAAGCTGGGATTACGCTTTCCTCATTACGGAACTATGCAAACATTGTTGCGTTATGAATATAACTTTAGTTTCATAATTAATCGATTCGATGTAAATGGTCGCCTCATGAAAAATTAATTGTTAATTTTTGGCCTGTTGTCAACATGATAGAATTACATATATGCAACTAATGTTAATCATACTAGTCTTATCTTACTAGTGTTATAAATGCGAAAGTTTAGATGGATGGATGTTTGTTAGACTTTGTAGCCCAAACGACTGAACGGATTCCAATGAAATTTCGTGTAGATGTAGAGGATAGTCTGGAAGAACACATAGATTCACTTTTGTTTTTTTATTCCACGCCGACGGGAGTCGCGGGCGGAAGCTAGTATTTAATAAATATTGCTGATGTTTACCTATAACATTAATAATTTATAGGTAAACATCAGCGGTTAATTTAGATATATTACACTAATGGCTCATTGGTTGGCATTGATAACTTTAAAGGCTTTCGAATTCCGATAAGTAATATTGAACTATTTTTGGTATTGACTTGTAATGTATATTTTCAGCACAACTCTATAATGTAAATCAACAAGAGGTAAAATCTGTTAATTGTTATTCTCGGGAGAATTATTCACATCACAATATTTTATAAGTAACATCAAAACAATTGTAAAAAACAAAACACACCCGTGTAGTCTACAATGTAGACCAATATTTTTTTAGACATTTCTATAATTTTTTTCGGGACAACCCGAAAATCGTTGCTGCTGATTCCAATTCTACGATATGTTAAATATCTACAATAAATTTATGTAAAGAGTTACAAGAGAATAGGGTATTCGATATGTATGATTCAAGTGGAAGTAGCAGTGCCGGGTGCGACGGGCGACGACGACGCTCACCTACGGATGTTATTTGTCGGCGTCGAGCGCGTCCGCCCTCAGATTAGCCACAACGCATACCCATCAACATCTAGACGTCCTCATATATTGAATCTCTAATCGTATTCTGAAATCTTTAAATAAATAAAAAAACATACAGACGAAGTGATAACTTTCTTCTTTTGCAAAGTCGGGTAATAAAAAACTTAATATCGAAATGTTCTTTTGTTTAAAAAATATTCTTTTTTATTTTTACTACCTTAAGAGATTATGAGTTGCTAACGGTTTCAGCAATTAATTAAAGTTTCCTATTTTTGTAGTTTAAAATGTGTAATTAGCCAAGTTATTTAGAGTCAAAAAATTAAAAAGTCCTTAGTCATTAAATGAACATTTTAGTAACGAGTTTTCTAGACGGCCGTTTTAATAAATATAACCAATAGATTCAAACACTTTTTCCACTCAAATCTTGTATTAATATATTAAAGGGGATATTCCTATGTCAGATAATAACTACGGTCTGTTAGATTCCATCCCTTCCACATCAGTTGCCGCACATGTTATAGGGACATCGCATTTCATTACGATCCTGTGACTCCGTCGACTTTGATTCCGACGCCGGAGTTAACGAGAACGAAACAATATCATTGTTTGTGTGAATTTGATGTGAAACGACGTGACAAATAATATGATTTTTGTTCGTGGTTATATCTGACAAAATTAATACTTTGTTTACCACAAAACTATAACATGTCTTCCCGTTATTATACGTTCAATTTAAGAAAATGTTATTTTACAAACAATTTTTTATAAACTGTATCACTTAAAGAGTGTTTTTTAGTCACGCTTTGATTGCAACTAGCTTATATGAAGATGCACACACTACATAGTTTTTAATTTTTTTTTTTTTATAACACAAGGTGGCAAACGAGCAAGCGGCCACCTGAAACCGCCAAAATCGCGAAGCGACCGCTGCCCATAGACATCCGCAATTGCAGATGCGTTGCCTACCCTTATCCGACGGAGGAGGAGACGCACATAAAGAGAATATTTCCCCTTCCTATGCATCTCCTCCACCGTCAAATCCACTTCCTCTTCCCAACCTCTCCTTAAAAGAACAGGGTGGTAAAGAGAAAGGGACTTAAATTAGGCCAATTGTACAGAAACAGTTGAATTGGCTGCGAAACAATCGACAATCACATGACTATTGTGCGATAGCTGAGTCAAAGCTGTACATGCTCTTAGTTGGTCTACCAATATATTTGATTTTAAAAATATTAACATAATTATACAGATTTCAAGTACGTATCGAAGAATAAATTTACCAATAAGTACAACTGTAATGTATAAATTTATAAGGCCATTTAACAAGCGAATGAAATCGTAAGTTGGCGTAGGCGCGTAGGCACGTAAGGCGTCGTAATGACGGTAATTTGAAGTAAACGCCGGGTGAGGGCGCCAGACGATTTGAAGCATCACTGATTCTAAGGCGATAATAGATAGGCATATATTTGTGGTAAATTTTGATTGTACAAATGTTTGCAACGAGTTTCCTGTTTTTTTGTGTTTTAGAGAATGTTCGAAGTGCTGTATAACGAGATTTTTTAATTTAATTAAAGAGAAACTTAGCTAAGTAAATATAATTATCCACAACAAACATCAATTACTTTTGTAAATTAGACATCGTCACACTATTCGTTACATTGTTACTGTTTAGTGTTTTTATTGGAATTTTCCGGTACCCGTTCTTAAGTTACACCTTCAAAGTTTTATTGACAATCAATAAGTAATCAACAACATCTTACACCTCCTTAATAGCACATCGAAGCGTTTACTAAGTTTGCAAAAGCAATTTGTATGAGCACACTGCTACGAGACGTAGCACTTCGTAGCATCTTATGTTTTAGTATTTAGTCAGTTTATTTATGTTTTAACATTTGGTTACGAATATTTTTTTAATATAATGATGGTAAAATATTACTTAATTAGGTACTACTTCCTTTGATCGCTTTTTGAAATAAGTGACTTTAAGGAATTGATGTATGTATAAAGTGTATACGATTTTATATGTAATTAACACTCGCTGTACATATTTGTAGGTACTAGGTAACTAAAACATTTAGTAGCATTTATATAATTAAAGTCCTCGTTACTTTATAGCAACGACGCGAAATAACGAAGGGGCGACCTTGCTTTTTGAATCATGTTTAGTTTATAAATGTTTCTCATTTTATGGAATTTATCATCTTTAGATATTCAATATAATACTTAATATTTCATTTATTACGTTTGTGAGTAAAATATG